ATTATGATAAATGACTATGATAAGTTCAGGCTACATTTGCTGCCGGGTCAGCTTGGCCGTGGGGCCCGGCCGCCCGCTGGCCCTGCACATCGCCCCCCGCTCGGACTACGTCTGCTGCCACCTCTCCATGGCCGTCCGCCTCATCCCGGCCATCCCTCTGGGCGAGGCGCTCTACCTCACCCCTCTGCCCTCCTCCGTCCAGCCGCCGGCTGCGGCCAAGCTGGGCGCCTTCTGGACCCTCAACGTGGCCAAGCAGGAGCAGCGCTTGCTGGGCTGGCTCAGGGAGCAGGCCCCGGAGGACTCGTGCCACCTCAAGTGCCTGCAGATCCTCAAGGGGTTGAGGGACCTGGGCGGGCGCTCCCTGGAACAGCCCCTGAGCACTCAGTGGAGCCAGGTCCTCTCCTCCTACCTCCTCAAGACGGCCCTTTTCTGGCTCCTCCTGCGCGGGCCCTTGGCCGCTTGGGAGGACCAGTTTCTGGTGGAGAGGTTGGAGGACTTGGTGCTCTTCCTGGTGGAGGGCCTCCAGAGGCGGAGGTTGATGCACCTCTTCTTGGGCAACCCTGCTCTCCCCGAAGCCCTCAGCCTGCCCAAGATCCTCAAAGAAGCCCCCATGGTGAACCTTCTCGCCGACTTTGACGGCCCTACTTTGGACAGGGTGGCGGCACAGCTGCTGGACACCTGGAAACAGGCACCCAAGGTCATCGGAATGTACAGTGGCCACAGGTACTGGAGGAAACATCCTGTCTGAACGTGGCACCTCTAAACCACAGGAGACCCTTGGTTTGGGCTGTGTCTTCATAAGCCCACTCCTCTTGGGAGAGAAAGAGGGGGCTCCTGGGTCACCCATGGGCACATTCTGGACGGGGGGTGGAATTTCAGCAGAAAGGGCAGATTACCAAAGCAACATGTTATGTTCAATGTGTTATTGTGTGTAGTTCATCTCTTTTTCTTTAACAGGGAGCCTTGGCAGATACAGAAACATGGTTTGGCAAGTTGTATTTTTTCTAACAAGAGTTCTCAGAATTTTCCAGCCCCCCCCCCCGTTGGAGCATTCCAGGAGCTGTAGTGGGAGGGGGGAAACTCTGGGGCGACTGCTTCTTATTGCTGTGCCACACAATCCTGTTGAACACTGCTTCCCCCATGCTCTCTGGCAAATCACAGCAGTGTGGCTTTCGCACCCAATCTTTTTCCTATTGTTTGAATGTGCTGCTTGTGTCTGTAGGATTCAGCAGTGTGTGTGTTCCCCTGTTTTGTGTTGCATTTTTCTCGCACAGCAGAAACCTTGGGTTCCTGAGTACCGTGAATTTGAAAGTTGTGTCATTGGTGCTTTGTGACTACACTGAAAAATAAGTGTGTGTGTTTCTTAAATATATAAACCTGTACTATAGTGCGGAATGCTTTATGCCAAAGGTGGACAAGTTATGGCCTTTCAGAGATGTGGTCCACCAAATATCTGGAGGGCATCCTACTCTCCCCCTGCCCCCCCCTTTTTGTCAACTCAGTTTTGTTATCATGAACTATATAATGGCCAAACGGAAGAGGAACACTATGATTTACCGCCGGTGCCTTAGGAGAGGTTTAGACTGGCTGATGTCAGCTAGACTTATGATATCTCAAGATGGAAAACTGCTTTCAAACCTTCTTCATCTGATTTTTGTTGTTAAAAGGTGATAGAAAGACATGTTCCCATGAATTTGTTGCATTTTGGGTGTTGGATTACCTTTTTCTTGAGCTAGAATGTTGGAAACAAGAGAGCAGTGCTTGAAGGGGGTGGAGAGAAGAATTCATGGAGGAAAGAAAATGGAGAGCTTGGAAGAAAAATAGGAAGCTTCAGCTGCACGCCATTGCTCAGGAGGACTATTTTAAGCAGGTGTTAGATGGTATGCGTAATCTCTGCTTGTGATGTGTATGACTTGTGTGACACAACACACGCGCACACACATGAACACTTTTTTTTCATACTGGCTGAATAGGAATGCAGAGCGAATGAGGGTCATGTGATCTGGCTTTTAGCCCAAGGACTTGAAGGGTTTTTTTCTCATGTTGCAGCACATGAGAAGGGTCAAGAATGAGTGGGAAATATGTGATGTAGAACTGAATGATGATGAAGATAGGATGAGAGATAAGTAACTTTATCTTCTAAGAAGGCACAGTTCTGATCTAGTTATATTCAGAGGATGTTTACCTTCAGGGTGTAAATAAAAATGTATCCTCAGAGACCAAAAAGAAAAGAAAAAAAAAGGGAGGGAGGGAAGCACTTTATTTTTACTAATACTTTTTTTTAAAAAATTTCTTGATAGCATGTAAGATACGTTAAATGTTTTCTCTGAACTTTAATTGAAAAGTTGTGGTGCATGCTCAGATTTGTCATAAATCACGTTTTTTAAAAAAGAAAGAAGAAAGCTGATTCAGAGCACTTACTTGAGAGGTACTGTCAAACCTAAAACAGTATTTTGCCTTAAAGGCTACCTTTTGAAAAACTATTCTTTGCAGTGTATAATTTTAGAGGGATTACAAATCCCCCCCCCCAACAAAGGTTTGTGTAAAGCTTCTTGTTATGACCAACTTCCTGTGTTGATTATTGCAGTGAATCTCCTGGCATTTGGCCAGACTGGAGTCTTCCAAGATTAAAGTCAACAAAAGTCTGGCCTTACTGTTTTTCTCTTGCTGTATGCAAGGCTGCATACCAAAGACATGAAAAGATACGGGGGTTTCCCATTTCAACAGTGTCCTTTAGGCAGAAGTACATTTCCCTTAGTTTAGTAGGATTTACTTCCAGGCAGCCATGCACAGGATTTCAGGGCATTTAATTAGATAGTCTTTAGATTCACTAAGACCAATTCTGTTCCAGTAACATATGGAGGAGGATTAAGCAAAGTTTGAAAAAGTAACTTCTTGGACTACAACTCCCAGAAATTTGGATGGCCAGAATCCCATGGCTAGTGGCTTGAGGATTCTGGGGTTTGTAGTGCAAGTCAAGGAGTATTCCCACCTTCTGATCTTAAGGGGGTTACCTTGTATGAATCTGCACCAAGACATAAGATACAGTGGTGCCCCGCTTGACGACAATAATCCGTTCCAGGAAAATCGCTATTAAGCGAAATCGTCGTCAAGAAAAAAAAACAATTGGAATGCATTGAAAACCGGTTAATGTGTTCCAGTGGGGGAAATACCTCATCGTCCAGCGAAGATCCTCCATAGGGGAAGCCATTTTCAATCACTGTCTTGTGAAAATAGGTCCGGAAAACAGCGGGGAGCCATTTTACGAACTGCTGATCAGCTGTTTTTAATCATCATCTTGCAAACAATCAGTTCGTGAAACAGGGACCTAATCATGGTAAAGTGAAAAAACCCAATAGGAACCATCGTTTTGCGATTGCTATAGTGATCACAAAAAACTCATCAAGCGATTTTGTCATCAAGCGGGGTCGTCGTCAAGTGGGGCACCACTGTATTTAAGGAAGGCAATGTGATGTAATGGTTAAAATGTTCAACTAGGACTGAGGAGATACCTGTTTAAATTCCTGCTTAGCCATGCCACTCACTGGATCATCTTGAGCCTCTCATATTTTCTCAGCCTGATCTACCTTATAGGATTGTTTTTAGAATAAAATTAGGGAGTGAAAATTGTATTATGTCACCTAGAGTTTATGTAAGGATAGCAGGGATATAAGAAGCAAGATCAACATTGAAAGACTTTTATCTCTGGAATGTCATGGAAAAGATTCAGTTGGTAAACACATAGGGGCAAATCCTTCTCAGCAGTGGCCCCAAAGAGTTGGGATTCTTACTCCCTAGTGTGAGATGTTTGCTTCCTTTCCATTTTTAAATAGATATTAGAAACCATTATTCTTATTGTTCTATAAGTCTTTTTATAATTTATTTTATAATTTGTACAATTGTTTTTAGTTTTTTGAATGTGTATGTCTGTAGTTTAATGCTAGGTTTTGTACTGACATCCCTTTGGAAGCTTTTCGAAAATGTTATTCTGTTTTCCCTTCCTTCAGTGTTTTTAAAAATGGCTTAAATTGGACAAGGATGGTCAATGTCTGGCCCCCAAGATGTTCCTGGATTGTGGCTGGAAGCATTCCTTGCTTGCCTTTGGGTATATTGACTAAGGCAGATGGGAGCTGTAGTCCAACAACATCCAGAAAGCCATACCTTTCCCATTCTTGGTTTAAATCATGACATGTAAGTGATACCTTCATTGTCATTAGTTTCGCCATTCTCATTTGGTGGTGGTGATGGCAGTGGCGGCGGCAATAAACAACAACAACAACAACAACAACAACAACAACAACAATAATAATAATAATAATAATAATAATAATAATAATAATAATAATAGTAATAGGTAAAAACAAAAGAAGATAAAGTTAATAAAAGAAATAGCATAGAGGATTCAGCTAAAGTGCTGCTTTTTGAACAGCATGAGGTACGGAGGTGAGAGGAGCAGATCTTCCTGCACACAAACTGCACCTATTCCTTCGCTCTCAATAGCTTATTGCCCTTAGCAATAATTTAAAGCAGAGGTCCCCAACCCCCGGCCCGCAACCCGGTGCTGGTCCGTGGCCTGAGCCTAACCAGGCCATGGAGACAGACTTCCCGCCTCCCGTGCACGCACTCACCCACACACAGCTGATTTGCGCATGCTGCGCGCGCCCATGTGAGCACCGTGTTTATTGTTACAGGGTGCTCATAGTGTTTGGGTACACAACTCCAACGCTCTCTGAATGGCACAAGCAGGGCTCCCTGGCTTCCTGCATGTGTTGGACTCATGATATATTTAGAAAGTCGTATAAGGGACCAACGGTGCCTCTCCCACTCCTTCACGCCTGCAGACACATGATGTTCCCTCTGTTGAAGAAGCTTGCGCCTCTTGTGACAACACAAGGCCCCACACCATGTCCTCACAGAGACCCATCCCATGGCACTGGGCCCCAGATATTATAATGAGGGGAAGGGAAATATGCTCCCATGAAAGCCCCTGACAAACAAGACAACACTTCAAAACCATTCCAGGAAAATACTTTTATTGATTTTGGAAAAGAGGCTAAACGGGGATCTCGGTCCTCAGTGGAGACAGCCCGGCTCAGCTCCAGCAGGACGCCTGCCTTCTGGTCCCTCGCCTCACCCTGGGGAAGAGGACGCTTCTGGCCCTACAAGAGAAAAGAGAGAGAAAAACGACAGCTAAGAGGCGAGGTCATCCACTGCCACCGGTGGACAAGCAGATGCCACCAGCTTCTGTCTCCCAATGTCCACCGACTTCCCCCTGGTGCATCGCCGATATTAGCCAGCTTCAAGCCACGGATCTCCGTCAGCCTCGAACTGTTAACTCGCAAGCCCACTTAGCAAGTTCAGAACTTGCCTTGGGGCAGAAAGGCTGGGTCCCCTGCAGCCGCCCTCGCTGCCACTCTCTCTGCCGGGCTGCCCTCTGGCCACTGGCCTCCCCTCTGGCCTCCTGCCCTGCCCAGCAAGCCCCTTTTATCTGCCAGCAGAGAGGTGGGGCCCCTGTGAGGTGACAAAGAAAGGGGTTGGGTTCCCAAGGCAGCAGCACCCTCGGGATTGGCTGTCCTGAAGATGATGTCAACAATCCCTCTTACCATGTGATTTACCCACAGAAGATTGCATTTTATATGGTTTTTAAATATATATTTTTATTAGTGGCCTATAAATGGA